GCAACCTGGGAGCCAAGTGAGTCTGTTTGTAGTGAAGGAGCATCCTCAGGGGTGGAGGTGGGGATGGAATATAATATCAGTCCTTGTCACAGAATGGGATGGCAGCTGGTATTTCTGTGTCCCCCACACCAATGCTCATCAATAATTGCCATGCTCATCAACAATATTTATTGAACATGTAGTACTGTTTTAGGTACTCTAATTAAAATAGACAAAAATCTGTACTGCTTTCAAACATAGATTGCAGGATGGGGTGAGGAATAATTTTAAAAAACCTAATGCATCAAGTGATAGAAGAGGAGTGTGAAGCACCTGCCTTTGACGTTTGAGCTTTGAACCCAGGACAGTTCGGAGGATGATGACTTCCTGTGACCCTGACTTAATCATGATGAAGGGCAGGATGAAATCAAGTCTACCACTATCAAACCAGCTATGTGACATGGCTGTTTGAGGGAGGGCTTCATTTTCTTTTTTTGTTTTTGTTTTTATTTTTGGGGGGGAACCAGGGATTGAACCCAGGGACATTTTACCACTGAGGCACACCCCCAGCCCTTTTTATTTTTTATTTTGATGTAGCGTCTCACTAGGTTGCTTACAGCCTCACTAAGTTGCTGAGTCTGGCATTGAACCTGTAGTTCTGTGTCACCCTCCCAAGCTGTTGGGATTACAGGCGTGTGCCACCATGCCCAGCTCATTTTCTTGTTTTAAGAGTTGAGGTTTTGCTATGTTGCCCAGGCTGACTCTGAACTTCTGGATTCAAGTGGTCCTCCTGTCTCAGCCTCCTGAATAGCTGGGACTGTGGTGCACAACACTACATCTGGCTCAGGAGGTGTTTTTGCAAGGAGCACACACCCTTCTGGGCTGTGTCTTCCTCCTGGTTAGGGTACAGATATAGAGTCTAGGACCATTTTATCCAGAGTGCCAGGGCCTTCTGTGCTCACCCTTTTCTGCATGGGAAGCATAGAAGCTGGAAGAAGGGTGATCTTAGCAGCTTTTGTCCATGTGAATCCAGAATGCTGGAGTTTTGACTGAACACCAGACCTGCCTGTTTTCCTTCATTGCACAACCTAAATCCAGGGCAGACCACTATCCCATGATATGGTTATACCTTACTCCTGCTTTCCCTCCACAGCCTGAGTGGGTTGGGCCGCAATATCATCCTCACCACCATGCCAGCAGGTACTAAGCTCATTGCTGGCAATAAGCCTGTTAGTTTCCTCACTGCCCAGCAGTTGCAGCAACTTCAGCAGCAAGGTCAGGCCACACAGGTAAGGTCCAAGGCAGACTCTTGGCCACATCAGACTTTTCTGTTTCCTTTACTGTTCTTAACTGATGCACCTACTTGTAGTCCACTGACCAGACCTTCTCTTTGCAAACAGGTGCGCATCCAGACTGTCCCCGCATCTCATCTCCAGCAGGGCACAGCTTCTGGTTCCTCCAAAGCAGTCTCCACTGTTGTTGTGACCACAGCTCCATCTCCTAAACAGGCACCTGAACAGCAGTGATTGTGACAGAGGTGGCTTCCATAAAAGATCACTCCTGGTCTGCCCTGGCTAAAAGAAAGGGAGCACGGAGGTTTCGTTATTCCTCCAAGCTTGTCTGTTAAAGGCAGGCTAGTGGGGAGGATAGAAATGGCCTTGATTCTGCTGCCATACACCACACTGGAGCCCTAAGAATGGTTTACTCCAGGTTCCTGAGTCTGCTCTCTACCAATCTAGGAGAAGATTCTGTCAACAGTCGTGGAAAGTCATGGTTCCATCATTCAAGCCAAAGTTCTCTCCTGAGAGTAGGATGCCCAGGGAAGGCTTACTATTTAGAGTGGGCAAGCAGTGTGTAAGCCTTGTTCTAAGGGTTGTATTTTTTAGTTTCTGGTTTTCTTTGTGACTTGTGGTCTAGATATGAGTTTTGTGTTCTGAAAATTTTGTGTAACTTATTTTTTTAAAGAGCCTATTGCACTCTTCATCAAATAGAAATGTGAGCTTTAGCTCCCCTCTAAAATGACCACTTGTTTTTTTGACCAGAATGAGAATCCTAGCCAGTTGGTGGCTGATTTGATAACTACATTGTAGTTGAGAGTCTATGAGATGAAAAAAAACATAGAAGTTAAGTAGTGTGGATTCCCCAAAATGGGATTGTTCTGGCATCACCTCTTTGTTGGGATCTTGATTGTGGTCCTACCTTCGTCTGCCCAGTGGGCAGAGTACAGTGACAGAGACTTTGCAGCACCAACTTTGTTGCATTTCGAAGATTGTGCATTCTGTTTTGTTCTAGAGCTGGAGTCACAAACCCCAGGCTCTTGGGCCCAACCACCAGTTTTTGTAAATAAAGTTTTATTGGAACATAGCCCACACCCATTTGTTTATATAGTATTTATGGCTGCTTTCAAGTTAGCAGGCAGAATTGAGTAGATGTCATAGAGACTGTATGGCTCTCAAGCCTGAAGTGATACTTTTATAACCCTTTAAGAAAAAGTATGTTGATCTCTGGCAGGAGAAACAGCAGGTGGAAAGTTGGCAGTGTGCAGGGTTAGGCACTACCAGCTTCAGAAGAGGTTAGTCTGGATTTGAATTTATTTATTCCTGGTTATTGCAGTCCTCAGCCACTTTCGGCTATAAGTGGAGCTCAGAATGGTATTTTAAAATGTCCTAAGTACTTAAGGAACTGGTCATTTATAACATATGCCTCACCTATCATGGGGCAGGGGTGGTAGGAATGCTTTTTTGCAGTGATAGGGCTTCCCTACCTCTCTTAGAAATTATTCATATTATTAAAAAATTTATCTTGAACCTGTGGACTGTTAGTGATGGTCTTATATAGGATCTGGGTGGGAAAGTAGAGCTGGAGGACACAGAATGGAAGTGGCCTGGTTTAGATGGTAGCTATGTTGCAGGTGGGCATTAGGCAAGGTGCTGAGAAAGAGAAAAAGGTTAGAGTGACTTGGTGGTTACCCAGTGGTTTTACAATTTCATATAGCAGTTCTGTAAAATAGATGTATCAGCCCCCTTTTAGCTGTGAGAAGATGAGTATGACTGAAGATTAAAAATAGAACCAAGGTGAAAACTCAGACTTCTGATCTTAAGATTCCTTCTCTACTGCATTCTTAAGGGGAGGATGGCTAGGATGTATCATGATGGGCGTTGGGGACAATCAGAGTTGGAAGGTGGGAACCCTAAATTCCAGAGGGCAGAGGAGACAGGTAAGATAGAACTCTTGATGGGTGTATGGAAGACTGGCACAGAAATAAGACTGGAAATGGTGAGAGGTAGAGACTAGAGGGAGGGAACAACAGGGTACTTTACTTGAGTGAAGGAGAGTTCATCTGTGTTTTATAATATAGAGATCATTATTTCTAAGAGTCACTTTTCACATAGGAAGCCATGTGACATGTGGCACGAAAGAGAAAAAGAAATTTGAGATATTCTGTCTGAGATATTTATTGCTGGTTAAAAACAAACCTCTTCTGAATTTACTTAACAAATGATGCCATAAAAGTAGCGCTGGCATTCAGCTGAAGCCCTATCCTACATGTTAATCTGCTGAAGTTATCTAACTGCTTTGTGCTACAGATGTGTGTGTTCTAGAGAGCAGGGATGTGAAGTACAGGCCTGTTCCAGGATGTCAGTGTGGCTTGACTCCCTGGGAAATCTAATATTGGCACTATTCAGCCTGATGGTGGAATAGCATAGAGTGAGAGTTGTTCATGGTGATAGCACCAGTATTTGTACCATATATGCTTCCTTCACATGTAGGCTTCAGGACTCCAGGTGATGGGGCAGCTGTGGTGGGGAACAGTTCTTGAAATCTGGCGACAGCCATTAAGCTGGTTGATAGAGATTGGTAAAATTATTCAGACAACATATCCAAGAGAGGAGTTGATGAACAACATCATGATCCATTTGTACTTTAGTATCATATCTAAGAATGTTTATGCCAGGGTTGATCACTTCCATTAAGGTGTTCCAAACCATGATGTGAGGCTTGCATCAAAATAAATTTTAATATCTTATATCCGATTTTCACACCTCAACTACTCACTCTAGAGAGTATTACATTTCTTAGTCTACCCCTTAAAACAACAACAAAACCCCAAAAGTATATCTTTCCTGTGAAAATAAAACAGAAACTAAGTTCTTCTTCCCACCTCCAGTCCCTATGAAAAATGCATATTTTACATTAATTGCTAATAATGAGTCCTTCAATACTTTGTTTTTTGAATGGGGGTTACCAGAGGTGCTTTACCATTGAGCAATATCCCCAGTCCTTTTTTATATTTTATTCTGAGACAGGATCTTACTAAGTTGCTTAGGGCCTCATTAAGTTGCTGGGGCTGGCTTCAAATTTGTAATCCTCCTGCCTCAGCCTCCTGAGCTGCTGGGATTACAGACTGCACCACTGTGCCTGGCACTGTTTGTTGAATGTTTGAGTTCCCATTCAGCTGGCAACACCAAGGTAGATGGTAAAATGGGATCCAGCTCTCTATAATAACTGAATCAATGTTTTTAGTAGCTCATTTTTAATCCCTAAGTTTTGGCTTCAATTTTGAAAGACAGCTGTGAGAACCAAATGAGAGAATGCATCTCATCCAGAAAATGCTGTACAAATAAAAGGTGTTAGGTGGTCTCTTAAGACCCTTCAGCTTTATGCTAGTTCACTTTTATTTGCCTGTAAAACTTCATATACTTAATTATCTATGTTCTTTTCTCCTTTTCATTGCCTTTGCACTGTTTTCTGTACCTGGAGTAAGCTCTTTGTAGGACAGACTCCCTATAGAAACAACTCTCTTGCTTCCTCTATCATGGTTCGTACTTACCTCTCAAAGCCCCACCACACTGTGTAAATGCCTACACTGTCTTCCCCTAACACTAGACTGTCAGCTTGCTGAACACATATTTCATTACTTGGGACAACCATTTCAGATCTGGTGCAAAGTAGACATTTAATAAATATCTGTTGAAAGAATTTTTTTTTTTTTTTAAAAGAAAAAAGATCTGGAACCAAGATTATATAATATCAAGATTTTATATTACTAATTCAGAATTCATATCTTTTGCTTTCAGCTATGTTGAAATTCAAGGCGTTCCATAACCTGATGTTTTTCTCTGTACCTCACTGTACAGATTTCATTTTGGCACCCTCTTTTGGGTGACTTTAGAAGTCAAAACAGCTGAGTTCCACAAGCCTGGCTGGGCTACTAATTAACTTCCTGTTTAAAAAAAAAAAAAAAAATATATATATATATATATATATATATCTTTGGCCTAATTTTGTCCCTTATCAATGGAGGCATTGCAGTGCTCTGTTACGATTAGTTAGAAAATGTTTAACAAGTAATATTTAAAATATTTAAAATTTGCTTGTAAATTGCTTTACTTAAAAAAAATACAAGTTAGAATTATAGCTTTAAAGTAAAAGCACTGTCATTCACATGTGTCCTGATGTTTTTCCAGTAAGAAAATACCTGTTTTCTTGAAGGAAAAGCAGCATGATGTCTTGCTGGACTCATTATTTCATTCACGAGGTTATTTCCTGTTTTAGGTTTTCAGTCTTTGATTTCTCTATACAGATGCACAGGCTTGTTACTTACAGGTATTACCTCATTTCTCTTTATGAAAGATATTACACTAACACAGACTAAGTTAACTTATGTTTAAGAATCCAAACAGCAAAATATACAAAACATCAGAGGCCTAATTTCCTGTACTAGAGCCTCCAGCCTTGTATTAAATGAGGAGGTACAAATGTATGGAGCCTTAGGAGCAGACCAAGGTAAGCCTCAAAATGAGGGAATAAGCTATATTCACTCCTTGGGGGCTCAAAGGGATAGGAGGTCTCCTAAACTCCATGGCCTAATCTCGTTCCTCATCTGAGCCACTCAAAAGTGCAGTCTGGTAAGTGTGATTGGACTTCAGTGTCTGAATCCCAATAATTTCTCCTCCATGTTTCTTTATCCGTGTCAGAAGGCTGTAATAGAAAAAACAATGAGGTCCAATCAGATTAGGCAGAAAAAGATCCTTCCTCATCTGAGGATTTAAAAACACCTATTGGTTCTTAAAGCATTTTCTTCACATCTCTATCAAATATTGTGATATGTGTTTATATATCTGACACCTCAGACAATACTCAGTGTGACTGAAATGTCATAATTGAGCTCAAATTCAGCTCTTTCACTGACCAGGGAGTAGACTGATGGTAACCATGACTATAACTCATTTCTGTTTGGTCTGTTATGGACTCTTCTGGGTGTAGTGTGTTTGCTTTGGGTCTAGGGAAATAAGCACCTAGGAAAAAAGGAGGGGCAGCTACAACAGCCATAGAACTGTAAAACCATATGCTGTAAGTCATCCTTGTACTGCAAGGCACTGACATTTACTGGTTGGATGACCTTGGTCAAGTTACTCAGTCTTGAAACTTTGATTTCCCCATCTGTAAAACATTAACAGTTCATCATAAAGCTATAGAGCAAAGTGGGGTAATACAGTGTTGAGAGTTATCTATGCCTGTGACACAGTGAGTACGTGGGAGTTAATAGCTATTACAGTCTGTATACTGCTAAGAAGCACTCTAGAGAGCACTTTCTGCCTCGGCATATTTTTGATAGTCATAACATTTCTGGCAAGTAGGCAAAACAAGTCCAGAAATAGAAGAGGGGTCCCAGATGAACCAGTAACAGCAGGGTCTACAACCCAGTACTGATCCCTAGTTCAGAGTTTTCCCCATTGTACTACAGCCTTAATATTAGAGCTGTATGTGAGACTTTGGTCTATCAGGGTACTATGACCTAGTCAGGTCATTTAACATCAAAAACCCTTATCATCCTCATTGGTAAAATGAGAGTTGTAATACCTACTCTGAAGTATCGAGTGCCTTACCTAGGATTTGGCATATAGTTAGCACTTATTAACAGAAGTAGAAGTTAATCAGCACTGCCTAGGGATTAGCACTTGTCAAAAAAGTTTACTTCTCTTAGAACATACCAGTAAACAAGAGAGTAGTTGATGGCCACAATGCAGAGGGCAACCAAGTAGTGCCAGCAGAAGCACATGGTGATGAACATGATGTTGGTCTCATCATTCTGGTCCCATGCAGGTGTCCCAAAAGGTGGGAACAGCACAAACCCAATCTGGTGAGTTAGATGAAGAAGAAATTGGTCTTTTGGTTAGCTGTCCTGAGAAGCCAGCCTTCTCCAGTGGCCACCAGGTTTGCTTAAGCTACCCACTATCTCAGGCCTTTTCATACAGGAATGTTAATTGTGGGAAATTTAGGAAGTGGGACTTGTACAAGGTACCAGTGCCTGCCTGTACTAGGGAAGTCTTGCCACAGGTTAATGCAGCAACAGGATAGTAACAGAAAAAGCACATAGGTCAGGGTATGGGCCTAGGGAGAAAGGGGCCATCTGAAAACATTCCTGTGGGGTGTATGCTGCGTTTTCAGACATTTTGCCTTCAGGATTTCTCTTGGGCACACTTGAGGGGACTCTTCAATCTAGACCACATAAAGAATGTTGGTGTGAATAATCACCTGCCAGAACCAAGTTCCCTGAAGAATAACCAGACTGGTTCGGAAAAGTTCCAGCACAATATTGTCCCGAAAGATCACCTCCAGGGAGATACTGATACTCCCTCCAAACAAAGCATACAGCAGGAGTGAGTGGATATGCTGGTCCAGTGGAGATCGGTTATGAACATGGTAGTAGAAGAGAAAACCTGCCACGAACCAAATGACAGCCATCAGAGACTTGCTTGTTAATACTTAGGAGAATTCACCCTGGGCTTTTCCTGTATTGGAATTTTCTCTTAGATCTGTCTCAAAGATAGCTTCTTCTTTTAGGAAGTGTTCCAGGACAACAAACAGGTGCAGATTAAGTTAATTTCATAGGTATGATAAGAGTGTCAAGAAAGATGTATTAAAAAGATAACTCTTCAGAATCCACAGTAAGGTTCTATACAGAATGGATAAGTGATACATGGTGCTTATTATAAATAACAAGCTGTGAGTATGTATACTTGAAATTCAGTTTTTCCCTTCTTCAACCTTCTGTTTCAACTCTGCTGAGGTAGAAGTGATTGGATTACAAAATGCTTTCTTCCTGCTTCAGTTAATGTGAGGTATATTGGGATTCTACCACTTTCCCCTGAGCAGTTGGGTGGGTGCTATGTTTGAGTGTCTCTCAAAGGTCAATATGTAAAGGCTTGGCCCTCAGGGTGCTGGTATAGGGAGTTGCTGTGGATCTTTTAAGAGGAGGGGCTTAGTTGGAGGTCTTTAGGTCATGGGGAAGGGTTGCTTTTCAAGGGGAAACCCAATCTCTCCTTCTCTTTGTTCCTGGTTCAAAATGTGACCATTTTGCTCTTACATATGCTCTTGCTTTGATGTGCAGTCTTCATGATTTGAGGTCAGACAGGGCCGCTCAGTCTTGGACTTGAAACTTCAAAACTGTGAGCCCAACTGACCCTTCCTTAAGTAGCTTATGTCAGGTGTTTAATAATAGTGGTAGAAAGTTGACTAATGCAGTGGGTCTCTTGATGCTTGTAATGGAGGCCAACACAATAACATCCCAAGTGGTGGAGTGGGGTGCAGTGTCTCTTCCTTAACCAAAAGGATTTACCCCATATATAGTAGCAGTCAGTCAGTCCTGAAGCATTGTATCTATGTGAATATATGTGCATGTGTGCACCCGTGCATAGGAGTATGCACATGTATGAGTGCAGTATTGGTGGCAGTGGGAAGGCAGGGAGGCTCTGTGCAGTGTTAGCCAGAACCTTTGAGAACTGTCTTAAGGCCTTATGCTTTCATGAGATGCTTTATGGAATATGCAGTCGGGATCATCCAGAGCATAGGACAAAGTCCTATTCAAGATTTGGGAGTCCTGAGTTGAATTTGCAATATATTTGATCATTTATGTTTTGATCTCATAAATTTAACTTGTCTGACTCTCCTCCCTTTTCTCCATCCATTTTACTAAGTTACCTTCAGTGAATACTGCCATAGCCAAAACCAATCTGTCTACCCCCAAGGGGACATGGGAGGCAAGGTAGGTGAGCATGTCAATGATTCCTGAGACTGCAAAGAATAGGTACATGGTGCAGTGCTGCCAGTTCATTAGCTTCATCCAGTGGTTTTCATGGTAGAGGTGTAGGTGGGGCCCATCAGGAACAAACTGCTCTGCCAGGATCCCTGCCAGAAATGAGAGTGGAAAGTGAGTAGAGAGAGTAGCTCCAAGACAATTTAAATAATAAAAAATAGCTGAAAGGCATTGTTTGAGTTAGCTTTGTCACTGCTGTGACTACAAGACCCAACCAGAACAACTGTAGAGGAGGAAGAATTTAGGGGCTCATGATTTCAGAGGTCTCAATCCACAGACAGCAGGCTTCATTCCTGGGGGCTCAAGTTGAGCCAGGACATCATGGTGTGGCAGAGGGAAGCAGCTCAAATGGTGATCAGAAAGCAGAGGCCTTCACTTGCCAGATACAAATATATACTCCCAAGTCACCACCCCAATTCCCACCTCCTCCAGCACCCTACCACTTCAGTTAATCTCATCAGGAAGATTAATTCACTGATTGGGTTAATGCTGTCATGACCCAATCATTTCTTCTTTGAACTTTCTTGCATTGTCTCATGTATAAGCTTTGGGGGGGACTTCTCATATCCAAACCATAACATTCCACCTCTGGCCTCTAAAAGCTCACATTCATAAGACAATGCAAATTATGTTTAGTCCATTCCCAAGAGTCCTTATAGTCTCAACAGTTCCAAGATTGCTCAAAGTTCAAGTCCAGAGTCTTCTCTGAGGCTCAAGGCAGTCTGGCATTGTGAGCTTCTAAAGTTAGAAGTAATTCACAGGTATCCATTGTATAAAGATACTGAGTATACATTTCCATTTACAAAAATAGGGGCATAGAAAAAAAGTAATGGGACCAAAGCAAGACTGAAATCCAGCTGGGCAAACAGCGCCTATAGTTATGTGTCCAGCATCTGGAGCACATGGCATAATGTCCTCTCCAAAGGTCTTGTGTAGCTACACCCCTGTGGCCTTGTTGGTTGCAGCCCAAGTGGCCTTTGTGTTGGCTTGTCTCTGCTCAATTCCTGCAGCTTTTCTAGGATGATGTCCCATGTTACTGGCATTTCTTAATCTTGGGGGTCTCCACTGCGGCTTTGGCTTCCTCCTCAAATCTCCACACCTTATCTTCTCAGGGCATGCCCACAGGGACTCTGACCCTGCTGCACTTTGCCTGGTTTCCAAGACCTTCCTTTGAAATCTTGGTGGAAGCCTCCATGACTCCCTAACTCCAACATTCTGAATTCCTGCAGAACCAGCACCACATGGTTGACACCAAGACTGTCGCCATCTTGAGCAGTAGCCAAGTCTGCAGGGACCCTTGCTGAAGCAGCATATGAATGTCTGCGTTGCTGAGCATATAGAAAAAACTTCCTAGGCCCCCTTGTGCAAGAAGGGTGTCCTACTGATCTCAAGAGAATTTTTACTTTTATTTCAGTGAGTTTGAGGTGGGTGTGGGCTTGCCAGCTCCTGAGATGCCCTCAAGCCATCTTTCTTATTGCCTCTGGATAGTCTTCAGCATTTCTTTAGTGTCAGTAAAGTCTTATAACAATTGCAACTTCCTTAGCCCCAGTTTACTCCTGCCTTTCAAGTTCTTCAAACATTTCTACTCCTGAATATCATAATAAACTTGGCTAAAAGCTGCCAGTAACACCCATGAGACTTCCTGAATGCTGTGTCGCCTAGACGTTTCTTCTGCTAGATTAAGAACTCCATCACTTTTAAAATCAGCCTCAAAGAAAGTCTCAGGACATACAATATGCAGACAACTTCTCAGCCAGAACAGTACAGGGATAGCCTCTAGTCCAATTACCGATAGTGTCCTCCTTTTCTTCTAAACCCTTTTGAGCCCTGTCTTCACTGTCCACCCTCCTATTGGCATTCTGGTCTTCTGAGCTCCCACTAGAATTGGTCATTAATCTTTGTTTACAACAGTTTAAAACATTTCCATCTTGCACTGCTAAACATCTCAAAATTCCACCCACAAATTCCAAAAAGCTTCTGAACCACGATTAGGTTAGGCACAGCAAGAACTCCACTCCTGTTACCAATTTCTGTGATGGTTATCTTTTTCACTTCTGTGGTTGAAAGACCTGACACGAACAACTGTAGAGGAAGAAAAGCTTATGTAGGGGCTCACTGTTTCAGAGGTCTCAATCTTTACAGACAGTAGGCTGCATTCCTTGTGGGATGAGGTGAGGCTGGACATCATGGTTGGAAGAGTGTGGCAGAGGGAACCAGCTCCCATGATAATCAGAAAGCAGAGAAGCAGACTTCACTCTCCAGATATAAAATATATACTCCAAGCCATGCCCCCAATGCCCACCTCCTCCAGTCACCAGATAATCCCATCAGGGAATTAATTCAATGATTGGGTTAAGGCTCTCACAACCCAATCATTTCTTCTCTGAACTTTCTTGCATTTCACCCAGGAGCCTTTGGGGGACACCTCATATCCAAACCATAATAAGCATGAACCAAGTCTAGATGTGGGTGAGGGTTGCCTATGCTTTGCTGCCTTGGATGTAGCTCCTTCATCATAAAATAAGATTGGCCAAGTAATCTGTGTGGGTAACTGGCCTTTGTTTCTCCTTTTTGGGAGTTGTGGGTCTGGAAGGATAAGCAATAGAAATGCATCCATACACAGGCCTCCAGTGTATTTGTTCCAAGCCAAGGTGAACACAAGGCCAGACCACTTAAGTGAGAATGTAGCTGATCACTAATCTTTGGGCTCTGCCAAGTCAGCAGTGAAAGGTATCCCCAAAGAATCAGGCTGAACTAGACTCTGAGCAAAGACACACTGTGATGAAGATCCCTGTACAAACCTAAGGGAGGACAGCAGCTCCCATATCAGCACCAAGCAAGCTCTGTAACCTGCAGATGAAGGTGCTACAGTTTTTGTTTGTTTGTTTGTTGCCATACTGTATCCAAGAAGTAAGCAGGGCCAGAAGTTTTTGCAGCTGTAACCCAGCACAGCTCTCAGTACCTGTCTGTCCCATGTACTTTTACTACCTCTTAGAAGATTTGTCTTATACTCAAAATGTTCTTGAGGAAGTCTGGGAGTCTTCCATCACAACATTTCTGGATGCTGTTCCCCAAAACAGTCCCTTTCTGAACTAATTTATAACTGTTCAGGAAGTTGGTGAAAATGACCTATGTGAGGTAGCAGTGACAGCAGAATAGAAGCCTTGTGAGTGGAATATGGTTCCTTATTGTGTTCCTAACATTCACACATGGTAAGAACTCAAGAGATAGCTGTTGAACAAGTGTCACTTTCACCCAGCTGAGATGCCAAATACAGTTTTTCTAGCTTTATTTAGGCAAAATTGAGGCTATCTCTTCTATGTAAATCATTACGGTCCCAGTCATTTCTCAACTCCAGAAAGATCTCTGATGTCTGAACTGAGAACAGGAAATCTCAGCTAGGTAAGCAAACAAAGCTGGGTGAGCTTTGCCTACTCCAAGGGAAGTTATTGTCTTTGCTTCATTCCCTCCTGGAAAACTAGGCCAAGGATGGCAAGTGGCCAAGCACAATTGCAGAATAAGAGCCTTAATTAACTTAATGCAGTGCAGGGCTGATTCTGAGGAGGAACCCTTACTGTGGTCAGTGCTCATTCCTTGTTGGCTTTTTTCAGTCTTTTCCACTGTTTACCTTACTAGCCCCCCCCCCTCCCTGTGCAAACTTCCCCCCCTCTATAGTTGCTTGAGATTTGAGGAGGGAAGGCATGCCGGCCAGATGGTAGTTAACTACCCTGATATTCTAGAGGGAAAGACAAATGAGGAAAAATGATTTTTCCTAAACTAACTGTAAACTCCATTTAGTACTTTTTAGTTCATGTACGTAAGTTTACTCTGCTTTAATGTAGTTCTTGGCTATTTTTTTTATATCTTTTTCATACAGTATGTGTTTTGCTTCAACAACCTCCTAAACCAGTGTCCTTTTAGGACAAAGAGTATAGTTTATTTGGTAGTTTTTCATAGTCTATATACAATGTTAAGACTCTGTTAACAATATACCCAGTAGGTATTATGATAAAACAACCTAGTGGCTATTTGAAAATCCTTGTTGTATTGTCTCTGCCAGTGAAACATCTATTTCACAGAGCCCAGAAAATGGATTAAAGGTTCTGGTATGATGTGAAGATTCCCCAGACCAAATGACCCTGCTCTTACCAATGACTGAAAACAGAATCCTGACTGCAGCCTCGATGACCTCTAGACGCTGGTAATAATGGTTGAGCCTGCTGTTCTTCCCCTTCTGGTGAAAGTACTTCAGTGGGTACTTCACTGACCACCACAGTCCAACTATCAGGAAGAAGCTCCCTGGGAGAGCATGGCCCTTGAAGTTTGCCATCAGTGTTCTAGGACACCTAAAAGATTAGGAACAGCTGTTAGTGATCATTCAAGAAGACATATAAATGTATATTTTGGTAAGAAATAAATTACATGCCTAAGGAGTCCAAATCATGAGCCACATCAAGAAGGGTCAGCTGTTTCTTATCAAATAAGCTTTTATGTTCTGTCACTGAAGTCTTGTTCATAAGGTAAGTTATGTGATGAAGAGATCATTACTAACCCTAAGGTTGTAAAAACTGCAGTGGGGGATGGGTAAATATTCATTGGTCTCAGGGTACAGAAATCTTTCTAAGTATAAACAAAGGAGGGAAGTAAAAAAGAAAAATTCAGCTGTATAAGCATTTTATGTATCAAAAAGACAGTTTAAAAAAGTTTGTAGCAGCTATATGTTATTAGTAGCAGGTATAAGGTATATATGGTTTGTAACAGCTCTATGGCTATTGTACTAGAGAGCTTTTACAAATTAATAAAAAAGATGAATGAACAAAAGACATGAATAGATGATTCATAAAATAATACAAATTGATGAAAAATCTCAATTAGATATGTATATGGCATCACAATGCCATTTTTCATCTAATTTGAAAATAATTTGGAAAACAAGACTTTGGGCATATGAAGATTATGGTCAATATGATTCAAATTTATATACATCAAAGTAATTATATAAACATCACCTCATTCTAAAAAAGACTTCAGGCATGATTTGCTTTTATCTCTTTTACAGTAGCATGAGACTATAGGATAGAAATTAGGAGTGTTAACTAGAATTTATTAAGAAGAAAAATGTTTATTTTTCCCTGGGGCATAAAAAATATGTAATGTAAGAGGAAAATAACAGTTTTGGTGACTACTATAGTTTGAAAGTGTGCCCTCCAAAATTCAGGTGTTTGCCAGCATGGTAATATTAAGAGTTGGGGCTTTTAAGAGGTGATTAGGCAATGATGGTTCCTCCATCATGAACGGGATTAGGTATGCTTGTAAAGGATTTTGATGAATGGGGTTGGTCCCTCTTTTTGCCATTCTGCCATGTGAGAATGCAGCCTTCACCAGACACTATATGCTGGGGCCTTGATCTTTAGACTTCTTAGCCTCCAGAACTATAAGAAATAAAGTTCTGCATTATCCAGTTTGTGGTATTATGTTATAGGAGTAGATGGTAGGCCAAGACCGACGGAAAAAAAGATTCCCTAGGAACATAAAGTACCCATCATCTACACAGCTTTTATACTTTGCATCTGGAATATCCTACAAAGTCCAATGAGCAGAAGGCTTGGTCACCAACTTGGCACCATTGGGAAGTGGTGGAACCTTCAGGAGGTGGGGCTTAGTGGGACGAAGTTAGGTTGTTCTGGGAGTGCACTATAGGGGGATATTGGGATCCCAGCCTCTTCCTCCTCTTTGCTGTCATGCTGTGAGCAGCTTCGCTATACTCTGTGTTCTCTGCAGTGATGTACTGTTTTCCTATAGGTTCAAAAGCAACAAGCTAACCAACCATGAGCTAGAACCTCTGAATCGGGGAGCCAAAATAAATCTTTTCTCCATTAAGTTGATTATTTTAGATGTCTTTGTCTCAGCACCAGAAAGCTAACACAATAACCATTCCAGCCCTAGCTGTTGGCCCATCCTTTATCACCCACTAGATTTTCAGGATCTTTTCACATCTTCCACATTGACAATTAAGGGATCTCCCCTGCCCTGATATTAAGCTCTTTCACAATTAAAAAGATGCATATAATTTTAAAAATATCAAGTATTATGAGAAACTTAGATGACAAGTAGCAGTTTCATGCTCCATCCCTCCTTGCCTCTCTAGTGAAGCCACTTTCAACTTTTTCAGCAGGTTCTTCTGGTTTTACATCCATAGATCTTGCTACTGTGTGCATGTTGCAATCTAGTAATTTATCACTGCTAGGTATTATCTACCAATTTCCTAGTACTCTCCTACAACTTCCTCCCTCTTTTTTATCCTTTTATTTTCATTCTGGTTACAACATACATGTTATTTCAATCATTAGTTTCATTAATATGGCTCTGTAAATCCAAAGTCCTTATCAGGGCCAGGAAGGCCCTGGGTTAACTTTTTGATCATGCCCAGCTATCTTCTGCCACCCTTCATCCCTCTGTTCTTTCTAAAATGGTATTCTACCAGTGGTTCTCCTTCATTTTACATGGGTTTTAGTTCAAGTGTCACTTTATTCCCTGGCTATTCTGTGGAAAATAGCAGGTATGTCCCACTTTTCAATCCATATATACTTGCAGATTTTCCTTAACCTATGAATCACTTATATTACAGACAGGTTCCTTTTCAAGCATCTGTGTCCATTTATTAAAATGTAAGTCACTTAGAAGGAGTTTGATCTATTTTGTTATTGCTGTCAGACCAGTGCCTACAACATGGCCAGGCAACAGTGAGCACTCAGTAAGTGATCATGAAATGAATGGCTGCTTAACCAATTAGCATATCAAGGGTTGTTTTCTTTACCTTTTATTTTCCAGAGTTAATAGTTGCCTTGTTTTTTATTTGTTTAGTTTCCCACATCCTTTTCACTTTGTTTATCCATAGAACTAACAGATCTATCAAATGTCTGCCACATAAAGTTTTAGACATTATCAGCTCTGTTTTATTCCTAGAGACAGAGTTCTCCAGAACTGAGCTGATTACTATTCTAGAGCATCCAGCACCATCTTTCACATTCTCTTTGCTTTGTTCCTATTTTGGCTCTCTTGTTTCTTGGATGTCATTTATTTTCCTTTTTTGATTTACCTCCATTAATATTTATCTAGTATTCTTCAAAAATGTACACAGATAAAAGGGAGAATTTTTTTTGAGAATTTGCATGGTTTGGTTGACAATCTCTGTCTTTTTTTTGTAGCCCGTTCATATTTAATGTAATTATTGATGTGGTTATATCACATCTGTCATTTTATTTTCTATGTCTCTCATTGTTTTTTTCCTGATGTTACAATGTCTAGAATTTAATTTCTTATTCCTCTGTTCCTCATTTCTTGCTGTCTTTTGAGAGTTAATATATAAATAATTTAATAATAACATGCCATTAAATTCCTCTTTTTGGGGCGATATTTAATTTTTTTCTAGTGCTTGTTCCAGGGATTATAGTAAAAATCTTTATTATATTATACTCTATTTAATACTAAATTTTGATAAAAAATTGCAACTTTGTTCCAGCATGGCTTCATTTTCTACCCTCCCTTCATGCCTATATATATTCTTACACACACATACATACATATATGTGATGAACTAATTATACCATAAATATAAACACACACACACACAAACACACACAAAGACACACACGAATCATTATGTGAACCATTAAAGTAAACTATTCCAATGAAAAGGGAGTTTCTTACACACATATACAGTCCAACAGTGTTGCAATTATTGCTGTAAATAATTTTGTATTTTTCAAAGAATGAATATACAAATGCTCCTGGACTTACAATTGAGTTACGTACCCAAAAAAACCTCACAAATGAAAAATTGTAAGTTCAAAATGCATTTAATGCATGTAAGCTACTAAACAATCTGTGATGTAGCCTCCTTTAAACACATTCAGAACAATTACATTAGTCTACAGTTGGCAAAGTCACCTAACACAGCCTATTTTGTAAGAAAATGTTGCATATCTCTTGAAATTTATTGAACACAGCACATTCAGAGTATGGATATTGGTTGGTGACCCCAGGATTTTGTGGCTGGCTGGTTGTGGCTTGCTGCTGCAGCATCACCACATAACACTATCCAGGAAAAGCATCAAAATTCAGAATTTGAAATGTGGTTTCTACTGAGTGCATATAACTTTCACACCATTATAAATTTGAAAAATCCTAAACTGAGCCTTTGTTAAGTCAGAGGATGTCTGTATATTCTTTCATATTTAATCATATATTTGCCATTTCCAGTGCTCTTCATCCCTTCCTAGCCATTTGAATAAGTCTATAATTTTATCATTTTTCAACACAAAGGCTATCCATTAGTATATTTTATAATCGTGCCTTTGCACCCCCTGCATATAGCAAAATATGTGATGTTCAAGTCCCTTATATAAAATGGCATAGTAACCTATACACATCCTCCTGAATAGTTTAAATCATCTCTAGAATGCCTGTAATACCTAACATAATGTAAATGTTGAGTAAATAGTTGTTATTACTGTATTGGGAGTACTGACAAGAGAAAAAAATCTACATGTTCAGTACAAACACAATTTTTTTCCAAAGGTTGTTGACCCATAATTCAATGAATTCACTAATACAGAACCCATAGATAAAGAGAGCTAACTATTTTGGAGAATGTTCCTTGTGTACTTGAGAAGAATGTGTGTTCTACTGTTAATGGAATTTCTGTGTTAGGTCCATTTGGTCTAAAGTGTAGTTCAAGTCCAGTGCTTCTTTATTGCTTATCTGTATGAATAATTCATCCATTATTGAATGTGGGGTATTGAAGTCCCGTGTTATTATATCACTGTCTTTTTTCACTATTATATCTATTATTATTTGCTTTATATTTTTAGGTGCTCCAATATTGTATGCATACTTATTTATAATTAATATATTATCTTGATGAATTAACCCATTTATCATTATATGATGCCTTTCTTTGTCACTTTTTATAGTTTTTTTTTTTTGTTTTTTACTTAATGTCTATTTTGTCTGATGTAACTATAGCTACCCTGCTTTCTTTTGGTTTCTGTTTGTATAGAATATCTTCATTTTCATTTTATGTATGTCCTTAAAGCTGAAGAGAGTCTCTTGTGTTTTTATTTTTTTTTAATTTTTATTGTTGGTTGTTCAAAACATTACATAGTTCTTGATATATCATATTTCACACTTTGAGTCAAGTGGGTTATGAACTCCCATTTTTACCCCATATACAGATTGCAGAATCACATCGGTTACACATCCACTGATTTACATGTTGCCATACTAGTGTCTGTTGTATTCTGCTGCCTTTCCTATCCTCTACTATCCCCCCTCCCCTCCCCTC